CACCTAATAACTGAGGACACATTTGTTAGATTTCCCCTCTCCTTTACCAAAGCATATCAAGATGACATAAGTAAGAATTCACTGATGAAACTAAATTGTAAGAAATTGTAAGAAGAAATATTACCAGAGGTCATTCTCTATACTCTTATCTTTTGCCACATTTGAAAATGAGATTCTCGGGTTTCTCTGTCATCTGGATTAGATGATGGTAGTTAGACAGAAAGAAAAATTTGATCTGAGATATCTTTCCTTTTCTTCCAATGATTTATTATTATTATTATTATTATTATTATTATTATTATTATTATTTGTAGTAGTAGTAGCAGTAGTAGTATATCCTGCTTCTTCTTTCCCAAAGGAGACTCAAAGCAGCTATCTGTATTTCATGCAAGCGTCTACATACAGTGCCGATCTGTATGGAAGTTAAACGGCTTGGTGATGGTGTGGAGGATATATTAATGCCTTGCCACAGAGGCCAGGCTGCTATAGTACATGTTTAGTCTGATTTATTTGCCATGTACTCACGGTTGCAGCTATAGTGTCGCTGCTTTAAAGTTGGGGTTGATTCCAAGCATCCAAACCCCCTTTCTGGAAGCTGCGCCCCGTTGCCCAAGGAGAACAATCAACAGAAGACAAACTCTCTTCCAATAAAGAAATGTTTATATACTATAGTCACAAAAATAGTTTCAATCCTCAATTCTCCAGCAAACCTTTCTTCAGCTTCTTCAGCAATCTCTTCTTCTTGCTCTTGCTCTACTCAATACTCTCCAGTCTCTTCTCTACATTCTCTTCTCTCAACAACACACAGTGCTTAGTCCCCATTTGTAGCATCTAATCTCAGTCCTTGGGCTACTCTAGTTCCTTCCTGAATCTTTGCTGCAGAAATTCCACATGTGTTTGGTGAAATATAACCAACTAAGACAATGAATTTGTCCAGACCCTGTTGTAGTATCCTTACAATGTAAAGTTAAGAAATGTGAACAAACTAGTGTTAAGGAAAGATGAATGCAAGGAATAATGGGTTTGTTGGATGCCTAAACTTTTCAGGTAGAGATATTATGGATTTAACTTAGAATCTTGGAAGAGGGGGACAATATTCTTGAAGGCAGGAGTTCATCAAGAGAGAAAACTCCAACCATTATAGAGGTAGTCGTTTTAGAACTCAACACTGATAACGAAAACGCTTAAATAAACCATTAGGAGGATGGCCCATGATCTTTGGCATCTCCATACTAATGCACAAAGCATGGGAAATAAACAATTATGGGGAAAAATTACGATACAATTGGCATCACCGAAACCTGGTGGGACCAAAAACAGGAAAGGAGGAAAGGAGGAGAAGTAGAATATATCAAAGATGTTTTCACCTGTGAGGAGATCTATAATGTAAATCCTGGAAACCATGCTGAGAGTATCTGGGTAAAAATTAAGGGCGAAAGAAACAATGGAGGCCTAACTGTGTGGTATACTACAGATCTCGAAGCCAGACTTAGGACTTGCCTTCTTATAACAGATTACCACACATTCAGAAAGGAGAGAGCTAGTAGTAATGGGAGATTTACATTATCTTCATTTGTTGGAAGACAAACTTTGCCAAGAATATCAAGTCCAACAAACACTTCACTTGCAGACAAGTTTATTGTCCAGAGATGGAAAAGGCAACAAGGGATTAACTATTTTAGATCTGAACTTAACCAACAGTGACAGTCTAGTTAATGGGGTGGAAATGGTTGGTTCCTTAGGTGGGACAGACCATGTTCTTTTAGAATTTGTTCTATAGTGGAAAGGGGAAGTAAAGCATCGTCAGATAAACAGTTTTAAAAAACTGATTTCAATAAACTTAGGGAAAGACTGGGTGTGAGCCCATGGTCAGGAATAGTCAAAGAGAAAGGTGTTCATGATGGGTGACAGCTTCTGAAAAGTGTCATATTGGAGCCACAATTTGAAATAGTTCCTAAAAGGAGAGAAAATAGCAGGTGTCTAAAGAAACTGGAATGAATATCTCAAGTTTCAACTGAGCTAAAATTTAAAAGGAAAATGTACAAGAAATAGAAAAAGAGAGAAATCACCAGAGAAAAATTCAAATGAATAGCCAGCATTTGTAAAGAGAAAATGTACTTATATGTAGGGATCTTGCTAGCTAGCAAGGACCATTGTTGCACTGAAGTGAAATATTCCATTGGTCTGTAGGGTAGTTGGCACATTCCACAGCAAAAGGTATTTTTACAGAGGTAGAAATTGTTCCATGGCAAAGTCTCAAGTCTTTTTACAGATAGATCAATTGCTTTCCTTTGATGTTTCCAAATTATTCTTAAGTTCATAACGAAGTTTTTTTCCAATTGTATTGGTTATTCATTTGTCTTTGCTGCTGTTGCAAAAAGTATAAACTTGTTGTTTTGGGTCTGGGTATTCAAGATACCCAAAACCATGGAAAGTTAAATAAAAGGTATTGCCATTGATTTTTTTTACATACTATGCTAAAATTTTAGAATCAGGGTGGTCTTTTTAAGCACCTCTTGCATTTCATAAGGATCTTTCCCAGATCTGAGAAGTGGCTTGGCAGTAAGTAGCCCCCCTGAAGACTTTAGCCTTTTGAAAGAGGTCCACTTGGACTCTTTTGGAAACAGCTTCAGATACTATCTCAAAATAGGAACTGGCAGTGAATGGTCCTCCTGATGTTTTTGGAGCAATATTCATAAAAAATATTATGGTTAAGAGAAGTTGTCTTGACATGCTGAGATAGTCTGTTAAGAAATCACCAGCTTCTGCATGCAAGTGGGATAAGAAGCGGGATTTATTCTTCATGGTCTCTGACTCACACATATAGGATTCTCTGTGTCTGTACAGTACATCTTCAGAAACTTTTAGCACTGGATGTCTTTGGCTAAAAGTCCACTAGTCAGTATGATTTCCACTCAAACCTCCCTTTTTCTAACCTCAACAGAATCACTTTGCCCAAATCTACTATATGTCCCTGATGTGAAGTGAAATACAGCAATCTATATAAATAAAATGCAATGTTCATTTTTGGGATTAACATAACTCAAAAACCACTGGACGAATTGACACCAAATTTGGACACCATACACCTATCAGGCCAACAAGTGATCATCACACATAAAACACGGAAAAACACAGCGGAAGGGACTTAAGAAGCCAAGAAAAGCAAGAAGACACTATAGCACATGCGCAAAACAACTACTCCTGGCAAACATTACACACAACAGCATATCCACACTCCTTTCCAGACTACAGCTCTCAGCATCCTCTAGATCAGGCCCTTTAGGAGAGGAGGATGATCTAAATGCACTGATTTCAAGCTGCAAGCTTCCTTCTCCTTGGATTTCTTTGACAGCATCCCAATCCCTGCATATTTCCAATTTCCCATTCCTGGACTGCAGCTTTCAGCAATCCTCCAGATAGATAGATTAGATAGAGATAAATAAGTAGGTTGGTAGCTTGATCAGGAGGACTGCTGGGAGTTGCAGTCCAAGAATAAGTAGAGAAGGAAGAAAGGGGAGGAAGGGAAAGGAAAGGAGGGGGAAGGAAGAGAAGAGACAGAGAAGGAAGGAAGGAGAGAATGAAAAGAAAAAAAGGGAAAGAAGGAGAGAAAGAAAGGAGCAGAGGAAGAGGGAGGGAAGGTTAGCCATAGCACTGCGTGGCGGGCACAGCTAGTATATATATAACAACGCATGCACAAAACCACACACACATATATATGCAAACACACATATATACACATATACACAAATATATGCACACACATATACATGTATATACACACAAAACACATATACACAGACTGGGCTACAGCAACGTGTGGCAGGAGACGGCTAGTTGGTGATAAAAATGAAAGTTTTTGATTTTTAGAAGTCTTTTCAAGACGACAGCAGAAGTTTGTGCTGAAGAACACTGCTTTACAAATGCAAAAACTCAGCAAGAGTGTCAGAAAAATCTCTCTTATGCAGATGAAGAGAGAAATCATACATTTCTTCTTCTACTGTATGACAACAGAAATTTACATCCTTGTCTTGACTGTCTCTTCAGCCCTAGCCAACATTGTTCAACAACATCCTGAAAACTGCATCATCATCATCATCATCACTAGTGCCATCACCATATCCCACCTTTATTCTAAGATTTGGACTCTCAAAGCAGCCTATTCTCTACCCCGCCATAAAATACATGCATGTATATACTGTTCCCAGTCTTTCCATACTAACTATCCAATTTTTTTGCTGTAAAACTCAAACTGAGTGCCTATAACTATTTCTAGTTTAGTAGTATATCTATAAAAGTAAAGCCTGGGTTTTAGAAATCAGGAAGTAAAAAATCCCTTCCATCAGTTTGAAGGTCGTGGTTTGTGAGTGGTGGGGATATTGTGTTGCTATTTGTGGATTTGATAATGTTTCAATTAGTCAATGTAAAGTTGTGTGTGTGAACAAAATTGTCTATTTTTTACAAAAAGGTAAGAATTTGTAACGAATTTTTCTTCTTTGTAAATTCTTTTCATCTCATTTTCCCAATTATTCAGAATTCTAGGATATTCTGTAGTCAATGGTTCTATTTTTGATGAAAAATGAAAAATTAATCAACAATTCAATGGTAGTAAAAGAGCTCAATCAAGGCAAAATTTCAGAATGCTACACATTAGGTTTTCTTCTCTATAAGTGTCATTGAAAAGCATTCATTGCTAAAGTAATTAACCAATTGGTGTATTTTTAAAAGGCTATTTGAGGTTGGAACATTATTCCTTCAATAGCAAACTTATTAGATTTGGACACGACCTTGGGAAACGGTGCTTAAGACATATGTTACTATATCAGAATCTGATTGTGATTTATTTACTTTGTCCAGATGCAATAGTCACAGAATACATTGCATGACTCCAGTACACACTTCTGCTATGTTAAAATTTTGGCCAGCAGTCAAACGCAAAAAAAAAAACCAACCTGTCTCTAAGCTCACAAATGTCTCAGTCACTACAAAATCTCTTTCAGGTCGGTCTTCCCTCTTTCCTTTTGAAGATGGTTTCTTAGATGACAGTCATGGTGACCAGTCTTTATCATCAGGTCTCAGTTCTCCAACCCGCTGTCAGAATGGGGAAAGGGTGGAACGCTACTCTAGGAAGGTGTTTGTTGGAGGTCTGCCTCCCGACATTGATGAAGGTAATGTAAAAAAAAAAAATGACACTGTTCCAAACCATTTGGAAATAACAGAATTTTGCAGTCTTCTCCATCATAATATTGAAGTTGACAGCACAAAGCCTACTTTGAACATAATACTTTTACGCTGTGAATTTTATTTAAAAATATTATTTCCACTGGGCATCAAGTTGGTTTTTCCAAATCCATCACTATATTATACCTTTGATGTCATGCTGGTACTTTTTTCTATTGCTACTGGTGGTTATTTAAAGAGGGCAAAATCCAGTAGAAACCAGGCTAATTGGTGGAGGAATTGTTATTTGGTGGCAGAAGGGGGTGGTTGCAGGTAAAAAAAAGGTTAATTCCAAATCTGAAAGCTAAAATTATTGCCATTCTTACCATTTATTCATTTTAAAGGTTGATAGTATCAGGAAAGAATGTTTTGCTTTTTTTCTTTTTAAAAAAATGTTTTTGTGGGGTTTTTTTTTAACAGATGAAATTACTGCCAGCTTTCGTAGGTTTGGACCTCTTGTGGTGGACTGGCCTCACAAAGCTGAAAGCAAGTCCTATTTTCCACCTAAAGGTAATTATTTTAATATAAAATATCCCAAATGAGATACAGTATTATGTCCTTTTATGTTTTCAGTTAATGTGCTATTGAAAGCAATATATATATATATATATATATATATATATATATATATATATATTTGAGCACCAAAAAAGCAACACTTTTAATTGTATATGTTAAAACATGAATTTGGCATCTCTGTTTTAAATATCCATGTAAATAGTTTTTCTTCTTCATGCTCTGTGACTCACACATATAGAGCTATCCTGCATCTGCACATAACTTTCTGGAGCGTTTTGTCAGTAGCCCATACCTTTTTTGCTCAACCCTCACTCAATTCCTTTTTGTCCATCCCATCAGAAGTGCCTAATGAGCTACTTCTCATTCATGAGATTGTTGGTATTGACCATGGACTGTTTTTCTACTCAGACTCCGTTCTGTGTTTTGGTTCTCATAATACTCTGATTGACTTTGGACCATTTGACAAATCTGTCTGTTTCACTGGATTTGTTTTCCCTTGGCAGGGCCATTAAAACATTTTAAAAAAACGTTTTTAAAGGTTCTGAGCGTACCAGTGAGATTCTTGATAAAGATGGCCACTCTAAATGCCTACTTTGTCTCAGTGAGGAACATGGTGTTCAGTCGTGCCTTCACTGTCAGGCCTTTACCCCTCAGGGAAGAGGGATAGAGAGGCATAGCTTAAAGCTCTCTTTAAAAGAGAACACTTTTAAGTGCAGCCACAGAACAGGCTGCTCGAGTACCAAGCAAAAAAGTCTCGGGATCCACTCTGGTTGCTATTTTACACCCTCCTATTTTGCCTCAGGCATCATTGCTTCTTTGTAGGAGGTTAAGCTCAAGCAGGGCCATCAGCATCACTCCATACTTCAGATACATACCAGACCTTTGGAATTTAAGACTTAGTGTCAAAGATCCTGCTCTTCATTGAGAATTTGTCACCAGTACTGAACCTCTTCCACCTTGACTTCATGAGTCACCATGATCTACTGTTACTAAAATAAGGATATTCTACAACTTCATCAGACAGGTAAAATTACCTGTTCTACAACACTTTGACCTCACTTGAGGCACCAAGCCTTTCAGATCCCATCACATAATGTTTATCTACTTCCCCGTGGAATGAGGTGAGGGGCAAGGTGGGCGATGGAGGCGTGGAGTAACGGGTTTCCCATGCTCCCCACTGCATGGTGAATCTCCCCTCATTGTGATGAGTTCCTTCATGCTAATGTTTGCAAGTATTCCTATGATATTAATCTATGACCATTTACATTGGCATACTGCTGCCATTGACCGGTTTAAACCTATTTTAAGTTGTTAAACACTTCCAGCATATGCATTTTCCAAGCTAACAAGCTGTTTTGTAAAACTTCATTGGCATTATTTCTATTTGCACAGTCCTTATTACTTAAAAATTCTTGCATGGCAAAAAGTTAAACTAGCTAGCCCTTGTGGTCTCTTCCAATTCTGTGATTCTAAGTAGGTCATATTTGGGACAATGACTGTGCATTTTCAGGCTCCTAGAAGTGTATGATCAGAGTAGGAGATATATCCTGTGATGTCTGTTCCATCAGTAAGTAAAAGCTGTCATTGTATGAAAAGCCCTAAAAGGAAAGGCCAGTATACTCACTCAGCTCGAAATACAGCATGACCCAGAAATGGAATAAGGGAACAGACATCTTGGCAGTTCTTAAACATTCACTATATAGTATCTATAGCCTGATTAAAAAGCAGCATAATTTGATAGCTGAGGTAATACAAGGTTTGGGTTTAAATGGAAAGTCAGCATTTCTAGTGATGAAAATTGTGAAACCCCACAGACCAGGTAAAATCTACAATTCCTTTTCAAACTATAGAATCTAATTTATTTATAGTATCTAAAAATTATTTTTAATGTCTGAACTGCCAGAACCCGTTTTGAGTCATTTCTTACAATTACAAGCAATTAATTTTAAATGTAGAAAAGAATAGTGAATTGTTCACAACAATTTGTGGGATGGGCTAAAAAGTTGAATTTACTACTTGGAGTGGATCTCTTAAAATGTTACCTCCCCTGTCCCTCAACAGTGTTTGTAGCATGCTATTATTTTATTTTCATTTTGTTAGAGAAACTTAAATGCCAATTTCTACTTTAACAACCAAGTTCTAATTCTCTCTGGCTTAGATTGAAAGTTGAAAAAAAAAACTCGCATAAGAAAGAGAGCATCTTCCTTTAATAGAAAATACTGCAATTTGTAGGAAGCAGAAGGGGGTAATTTTGCCCCCACTCACACTATTCCACAGTATCCCCCAAAGTTGAGGACTAAACTTTGAAGGACACAAGGAATCATGAGGGGAGAGAGCAATCAGTGATAATTACCTTATAGTTACTCTGGAACCAAGCCAATGTATTTGCTCGTGGTTTACTAAATATCTCATTGTTGCTGAATTACAAAAGACCTGTGTTGTTGAGCTGGAAGCTTTCTGCATTTGGCGAAGCTAAATCTGTGTTCTATCATTCTTGTGAAATATTCTTGAGTAGGATCTATTTTAGCAGCAGACAAGGGAACAGTCTTTTCCTATTTTTATCATGGTTCTAATATGGGGAAAAGCTTTCAAAGTTTCTGCCAGTTGACCTGAATGTCTGTCCAAAAGTGCTAAACAACGCTGGGTCACAACTGTTCCAGATTATTTATAACTGGCTTCTGAGCTGTCAGAGCTTTCAAAATAAACTTTGCAGCATGTTTATTGTAAGCTTTGCTTGTCAGGTAAGCTTGAAATAGGTACTTAATTGACATTGCTGGACTATTCTGTCTGTTTCTATAATGTCAAATGCTTGTATGCATGTTTATGTAGTTCTTTTGAACCTTTCTTTATATCTTTAACACCTCAGAGCACTATCCTCACTCATCTTGATATCAGGCTGTTTTTTAAAAAATAAGCTCTTTATGTTTTCTGAGATCAAGCAGTATACCAAATTCCTAAAAGCAGGGGTGGGGTTGGGGTTTAAAGAAATACATATGTATTTCTTGTGAAGCTTATATGTACTTGTGGCATATAAGAATTTCCATCAGCTATACAGCTTCTGTTGTGCAACACTATAAGAATATTCTTAAAGTACTTTGTATAACAGTGTATTAGAAGTGCAGTTCTCCCCAATTATTTCATATCAAGTGTTGGAATACTTCCTTATATGAAAGTCCTTTGATGCCAGAAAGATCTTTCCCTTACTGGTGCTACATAATACAGCTAGACTTGTCCTAAACTTTATGGTATTCTGGGACCAGAAGTAAGCTAATCTAATGGTGTTTGGTTGTATCCACAGTTTCAGGTAATTGTAGTCCAGCGGTGAATGTGTCCCCACAGATTCATGGGTCTTACTATATTAGAAAGTTTCTCTTATAATTTAGCATCGGAATAAATAAGACTTTTTCCTGAGATATTCTGCCAAATTAACATGGGTTGTATAGGAGAAGTCAAATAATTGATATTTTAAAGATTGGAAAACATTTATGGATGTTTTTGAGCAAGAAGAAATGTAACAATATAACAAGCTATGGATGTGGTTATTAATAATTTTATTTAATTGGATCTCTAATGATGGGATTTGTTTTCAGTCAAAATTAGAAGGGTCAGAGTCCTACTGTGTATTAGCTGTATATCTTTTTTCTTTTATATTTCTTTTCTCTTTATTTTTGAGTTCATATAATTATGTACTAAAATTAATTTTAAAATTAATCATACAAAATAGAACGAAGTAAATACAATACAAAATGAAGAATATCCCCTAAGGTCTAAAAATAAGGTAAAACACAGGTTTGTACTGCTAAGCCTAGTTTCCACAAGATCCAAGAAATCAAAGGAAAACGTAAAGCAAGAGAAAGGATGCTATACATCCTACAAAGTAGCATGTTACATAACCAAATAAAATAAAATGCTGATTGGAATGATTCACTGAAAAAAAGAAGAAATACACACTGATTCATTAAATGAAGAATGATTTTTAAATGAACCTACAATTTTGGAAGTGAAGTGGAAGCTGTACTTAGAGTGTTTATTATTGTTGTGGTTGGTAGATGCTACGTTACAGTAGATGATACTTTACAGTAAAACAAACAAAACTAGTTGGTCATGCCAAAGGCATACCATGTAAAGTATATGTGTGTACACATGCAAACAGAGAAAAGGGGGAATAGCAAATATCAAAAGTTCTCAGTATAATAGCAAAATATATCATCCAGATAAGATAGGGCGGTGGGGATCTCCACAATTTAATATAAGGTAAACTGGCCAACATATGTAATCAAAATATAGGACACTACAAAACAAAGTCAAGCCAAAATTCTAAAAGTTTAAGGAAACAAAAAAAGGTTTTAAAAAAAATTATTGAGATTTAAGAACAGCAAGGGAAGGAGCAATCCAGAAATGTTCCAGGGCAGCAAGTGAGAAAGGATAAAAGCGATCCAAGAAAACTCTTGGTTGGCTGAGATGCAACCAAGAATACAGATTGTGAACAGTCCAGTGAAAAGAAGTAAGGGTTGTAAGATAGGGTGAGCTAGGCTGTATAGGTCTTTAAACATTAAATCATGAAGTTTTTATACTAAGTCCTAGAAGAAAAGGGCAACCAATGAAGAGATAGCAAAAGTGGGAAAACATGATCAAAATGACAGACCAGAAAGATGTATCTTAACAGCAGAATATATAATGGAAACCAAATAGCTAAGGTGAGATATGGAAAACCAGTCAAAAGAAGGTTACAGTAATCAAGGTAGGAAATAATTTAAGGCATGAGGCAGAGGAAGGGAGAAATTTTCGCAATGTTATAAAAAAATATCAACATGGGCTTGCTACATCCTCTGTGTGAGCAACAGACAAAAAGTAAATAAATAAATAAATCCAAGATTCTGTACATTATTAACAGGATAAATGGAAATATTAAAATGGAGAGTTTTGTTATAAAGAAGGTTTTAGAGTAGTCACATCTTAGCTGAACTGTGTTTTAGGCAATGGTGAAGAATCCATGCTTAAATAGTTGGGAGACATACTGTAATACAGTGTTCGATGTCAGAATAAAGTAGAGAAATACATCGGAGTATCTTCAGCAAAAAGATGACATTGAAAACATTATTAACTGATAAGATTACCTAAAGATAATGTATATAAAGAGCAAAGTACCCAGAATAGATCCCTGTGGAACACTGACCAAAAGGAGGAAAGAACATGATTCATAACCTCTAGGTAGCGCATTAAATGAAAGTCCTGAAAGATAAGATATAAACCAACTGAGGTCATGAAAAAATCCAATAAAAGAGCATGATCAACTGTGTCAAAGGCTGCAGAGAGATCAAGGAGAATAAGGACTGAAGACTAGCCTATGTTTTTTTGTTTCTCCGTAAGAGTGCAAAAAAAGAAAAGAAATTCAGATTGAAAGGAGTTCATTACAGAAATATGAGAAAGACAGCTGAGACAATCTACATACGCTACATGTTCCACAAGAGGGGACCTCACTGAATTTTAAACAAAGAAAATATGTACTGAACCAAGTGATGAAAGCGCAAGATTTTCTCTGAGGATATAGAAAAGATCTACCAGGAACAGAGAGATGAGACCGGAGGGAAGAAGGTACAGATCCCGCACAGACCAAAGACAAGGGAAAGACACAATTGATCAAAAAACAGATTCACTTTCTGAAAAAGGTATAATGTCTCTGGGCTCTGATATTTTTTTTTAAATAGCAATGAATTAAAAAAAATATTGTAGTGTTTGAGGATTGACTCCATCTCAAAAAAGAAGGAAAATCTTTCACTACCTTCAGAAGCTTAATTGAACAAATGAAGGAGCTGTTCAGTGCAATTCTTTTTCCTTGGAAAACTAACTTTCATATAGTTCAGCCATGTACTCTACTTTTCAGAGAATGTTTCTTTATTTTAGTGGCTATCTGTTTAAAGTCTAATATAAAGGTAAAGAACAATATGCATAGAGAAGTGGGCTATACTAGCTGCTTATTAGAGTAAGCACTTGGGATTAGCATTTGGCTACAGTCTTCCTTCCTATAATAAATATGCTGCATTTTGAACTGAATTACACTAATATACATAGAATCATTGAGTTGGAAGAGACCTCATGGGCCATCCAGTCCAACCCCCTGCCAAGAAACAGGAAATTGCAAACTCATTAACCTCAGCAGGCTGAAAGCCAAAAGTAAGGTCACACCAACTTCTGTTATAGAACTCAATATGCTGACAATAATGTAGTCTGTGCTCATTCAGAGGAAGACTTACAAGCCATTTTAAACTTGTAGAAACAGCCTGTCCTCTCACTGAACATCAAGAAAACCCAAGTGCACTATCAGAAGTCACCAATCAATCCCTCTGCAATGCCAGAAATAAAGCTTAATGTTGACTATTTCAGCTTTCTAGGCAGATACCCCTCCACAAAAATCAACATTGCTGAAATGCAACACAGTTTGAGCTCTGTGAGCACAGCATTTTTTTTGGAATGAAGCAGAGCGTCTGAGTATTGGGATAGTCATAGAGATACAGAGATGCTTGTTTATTTCTATTGTACATCTATGAAACATGGACCATCTGCAAACGTCACTCTCGACTTTTGGAATGATTCCATCAGCATTGCTTTTGAAAAATCCTGCAAGTCTCTTGGGAAGACAAATGGACAAACATTCTAGAAGAAGAAAGACCACCAGCATCAAAGTGACAATTCTCCGCCATCAACGTTGTTGGACTGGTCACATTGTCTGAATGCCCAGTCACCATCTCCCAAAGTTAGTTACTTTATTCTCAACTTAAGAATGGAAAACAGAATGTTGGTAGACAGCAAAAAAGATTTAACGATGGGCTTAAAGCTAACCTTAAAAAAGTGTAATAAACACCAAAAACTGGGAAACCCTGGATTTTGAAGAGGTATGAGTAGAAGGTAAAAGGGGGAAATATGCCAAGAGGAAGATGCATCACGCAAACCCTTGTCGAGATCACCTTCCATCTGGGAATGTATGTCCCCGCTGCCAAAACAACAACAACGGATCCAGAATAGGCCTCTACAGTCATTTATGTACCCACCACCAAGACTATCCTTGGAAGACAATCATACTTGGCCACAAGTGACAGCCTATATGATATAACAGGATATACATTAAAATTAAATAAAATTTTAAGAGTTAGTCTTATCTTATATAGAGCTCGCCTTATATACTAGGTTGGGAAAACAGAAAGCCACCTTCATGGGGAGATCCTCTGTTAAACCTGGGTCCATTCTTGAAAGCCACTGACTAGCAATGCAGCAGTGAAATGTACTAGAGCTCCATTAAGAATGGACTAGTAGTGGGTGCCAATGTTTCTTATAAATTTGAAATCCAGCCAAAATAGAAGAGTACCTTCTCTTTTCCCCCAGCAAGAGTTATATCCTGCATTGTTCTCCATTTGAAAAATTAATTTTCATTCTTTACAGAGCCAGAAGCACTTGTGCTGCAGAGATGAATATGCTGCATTTATTAGTTTAAAGCTCTAATAAAAAGACACCGAAAAGCAATAGAGAAAGTTGTTTTTTATGTAAATCAAATCCTGTGGTTTTACAAGGGGAGTGTGCTACATAAGAATCAGACTATAAAGTTATTTAATTTTTCCTACATCAGCTATTGTTTATATAGTGTTCTTTTCGTTAAGTGAATCAGCTGGCAATGCAGTACACTGTCACTCTGTCAAGAGAAACTTTAGCTTCGCAGCGTAATATATAATATCACTTTTCTACAGTAGCTAAAGTAAGATTAGTCTCTTCAATTTTGCAATTTCTTTAGTGGTAAAGCCTTTGATGTATTTTGGAAAGGCAGTCACAGCAAAGCTTTACTTAAAACGAAAGTCTGCAGATTTTTTTGAAGCACCGCTGGGTTCTTATTTTTAAAAATCAGCTCCTTTGACTTCCCATTTCATCTTTGGATTTGGAAATGCAGTTTTATTAGTGTTCAAAGCATACAATTACAAAGTTATAAAATAGAACTGACCTGAAATCACTTACTGTTTATGCTAGTAGAAAATGTCCTAAATGTGTTTTTCAAGTTTATGTGCATGTATGTAACTAACAGAACAATAACATTAAAAATTATAGCAAAATGTTTCAACTTTTTCCAGTGTTCCTGTATCAGATCATTCTTATTTCTTAACTTTAGGTAGCGATAATTACAGATATAATACAAAATCTACAATTTCACTAAATATAATTTTTCAACAATATATTTGGACTGGGGGATACCCCCATAACATTAAAGGGTTTGGGTACATTTTTATTTACATGCCAACATTTCTCAGTCTTCAAATTCAACATGTCTAGCTATTGCTATAGAGTTTGAAAGCATTTCTGCACATTCTCGTTGAATATTGCAACTGCACAGAACAGGAAATATTTTAATTCAAGCATTTTATATTCCAAGGAACAGATTTCATTTTTCTAAGAAGGGTGTTCCATTGATGGGAAATTTGAATTTCCTTATAGGAAAGGGCCTTATTTTTTTCTTCTTTGCAATATCTGTTTGAGCCAATTCATTCATTATCTCTAAGAAATGCACCTGAGTACATAGAATCTGTCATATTAATTCAAACAATACAATACAAAACTTTATTACAGTCACTGACCAGCAAAAAGTGGGGCACAAGCGCCCTGGAAGGGGAAGCACAGCTCCCCAGTGAAGAAGTTATTTAAAAGTAGATTAGAAAACAGTTTAAAAATCACATTTTCAAACACAGGTTATTGTAACAGGTATGGAACCGAGGGTGGGGGGAGGGGGAAGATTGATAGACGGGGTCAAAAACACTGGGGGGCACTAAAGGGGAAGGGAGGGGCACATTGCGGGTCTAGTCGCATTTCAGCTGTAACATGTTGCTCTAACTACAATCCCAACAGGGTGTTGCTTTGTGGGGTCAGTCATCTACCGTCTAATTTTAAGTGCTGCAGCACAAAACTTAGCAACACTGGAAGTTGTTGTAGTGTTAGAGTCCGAAAGCAGCAGGGTGGAATATTAAAAATATTAATTCAGTTCAGTCATGTACAGGACAAATACATTTAAATGAGTGAAAAGATGATGATAACACAATGGTTAACTATAGAGAGAATAATTTGTTCTGAATTGTATCATGTGCCTGTATCCTATATAGCAGAATTTTAGTAATTGTATGTATTAAATGTATTGTGCTATGCTTCCTAGAATTTGCAGTTACTGACTTTATAATCTCATTTTTCCCCAAGGTTATGCCTTTCTGCTATTCCAGGAAGAAAGTTCTGTGCAAGCTCTCATAGATGCCTGTCTGGAGGAAGATGGGAAACTTTACCTGTGTGTATCAAGTCCTACTATCAAGGACAAACCAGTAAGTAGACTGATACAGTGTGTTTTCCTTTATGTTGCTGAAAACCAAATGCATTTGTGAGCAATTGGCTATTTGGTGTCGTTTTCTTTGCCCTCTGCAAATAGATATTGACCACGAAAGCTTGTAAGATGTCAGGAAATGCCCAAACTATTCAGACTGTTCGCTTTATTGTTCTGTAATGGTTTTACGCACTGATCCAGAAGCTAGAATGTGGTGTTAGCTTGAAACAGTCATAATTCAGTCACTTTACATACAGTTTTTGTATCTCTCAATTACCACCTTGCATTAAAACGTGTGTTGTAATTCATCAATCTTTGTGATAGAATATGATCCAGTTTTGTATGTCTTTCAACAAATTGTTCCAGGTGCTGTTGCTTAATGTTGCAGTGCTTTAGATATTTAAAACTGGCAATTTTTCTAGATTTTGTGGCAAATTTGGTGAAAAGTAAAAGATGAATAAAATCTCTTAAATGTGTACCTGTATAGATTAAACATCATTTGTGCTTAGAATAAATGGGTGCCAGTGATATATGTATTTAAATATCTGGAAAGTACCTTTCATATGCCTTCGTTTGGAGATCATTCTAAGCTGTGATATAATGTCAAGCAAAACAGTGTTAGGTTCATGCTTTCTACCCTTTGATGTTTAATCTCTGGTTGATCCTTCTCATATTTTTTCTCCTCTCTTCATACTATTTCCTGCTTCTTGGTAGGAGGTTGGACTAGATAGCCAACGGGATTTCTTCCAACTCTATGATTCTATGATTCTTATTATAAAATTGGAAGAGTCGGTCATCAGCAGGAATGCCTTGATTTTTATGTCACCGCTCACACAAAGGTGTTATGGTGGAGATAGTATTCTGGTGGGAATGTTTTAAGTAAATAAACCATAACATTGTCTTTTAAACCATAACATTTTGAAAGTTATACAGTAATAATAATCTATACAAATAAAAATAATGTTCGTTTGTGGGATTAACAGAACTCAAAAACCACTGGACGAATTTGGACAGGCCAATGTATGTCCTTCACTCAATGTATGTCCTATCAGGCCAATGTATGTCCTTCACTCAAAAAAATTGATTTTGTCATTTGGGAGTTGTAGTTCCTGGGATTTATAGTTCATATACAATCAAAGAGCATTCCGAACCCCACCAACGATGGAATTGAACCAAATTTGGCACACAGTTCTCCCATGACCAAAAGAAAATACTGTAAGGGTTTGGTGGCAGTGTCCTTTGGTTTTGGAATTGTATTTCACCTACATCCAGAGAGCACTGTGGACTCAAACAATGATGGATCTGGACCAAAACCAAACTACACAAATATTCAATATGCCCAAATGTTAACACTGGTGGAGTTTGGGGAAAATAGAATCTTGACATTTGGGAGTTGTAGTTGCTGGGATTTGTAGTTCACCTACAATCACAGAGCATTCTGAACCCCACCAACGATAGAATTGAGCCAAACCTCCCACACAGAATGCCCATGACCACCAGTGGGCCACAGCATCGCGTGGCAGGGGACGGCTAATAATAATAATAATAATAATTATTATTATTATTATTATTATTATTATTATTCAAAAGTATGATCTTCCCAACCAGGTCCTCTCTATAAATGTTTTACTACAAATTCCAGAATCAAACAGTCAATAATCTTATAAGGCTTATCAACATTAGATCTTTGTGGATTGTCAAATTCAAACAGTCCTATAACTTTGTCCCAAATTCAGCCAATTGCTTTTTCAAATGGACAGAGTAAAGGCATTCCATTTCAGCAATCCTCTTAGCCTAAGCAAAGGAATTAATTCCTTCACCACCCAGTTTTTCCTCAGTTTTCAAAATGTATGAATACTTTACTAAAATGCAGATACCCTTGCAGTTTATAATCTATGAGATTTCAGGGTTCTTTTTAAACATTCTTTATAACCCAAAATTTTAAGCACATGCAGCTAAAGATAGATTCAAATATAGATATGAGTTATGTCTCTAATAAATGTACTATCCCTGAAAGCAGATCTTTCTGTCTTATTGCAGATATCTTTGAAAGGCCTATAAACATCAAAAGTGATTTACCCTGTAGCAGAAAGGTCGACTTTTTAAAAGCTCCCTTAGAGATTTTCATGTATTGAAATCTCTTATTCGCTTTGCTATTTTAATTTTAATTTATTCATATCCCATTTTTCTCCTTATGTGGGAACGAAGTGCTTACAGTATAAATTAAAAGAAAAGATAGTTAAAACAATATTAAAGTTTAAACGCTTTTAAACAGAAATAAAAAGAATGAAAATATTGTTGGTTTAAGTTACAGTTTGACTTGGAGGCAGTCATAAAATATGAAATAATGAACTTTTTAACCCTAAACTTATACAACTTGGACTTGTTTGCAAAGCAAGTTAATATTGTGTTTGATATTTATTTATTATTTATTTATTTACTCCTTTTGTATACCGCAAATATCAGCCAGCGGCGACTCTAAGCGGTTTACAGTAAAATGTGCAACATTGAACAATATATGTGACAAACAACTACAAACAATACACATAACGTCATCACGCCTCGAATAGAATCAGATCCAAATCTCACAGTCGTTTTACCATTCCTTGTTCAGTACGCCGTCTTTCTGAGTCAGATGTTATTGCATGCTTATCCGAACGCCTGTTCGAAGAGCCACGTCTGATAGATTTGGAGTTGACCCATAAATTGTATTGATACCATGCTGACCTCCAGAGATTGTTCAGTAGCTGCTAAATCAGAGGCTATACATCAGTCATGGGCAAACTTTGGCCCTCCAGGTGTTTTGGACTTCAACCCCCACAATTCCTATGGAAGTTGAAGTCCAAAACACCTGGAAGGCCAAAGTTTGCCCATGCCTGCTATCCCTATATGTGATACTACATGCAAGGCAATCTGTGTTTAAAAATGTTTATCTATATTTGGATGACTTTTGTACTTCTGGTATAGGTGTTTGTGTATACAAAACAGCCTAGTTGTAGTGATAGTAAATACTTGAAAGATTACATCAATAGTTGAGGGCAAGGCAGCTGCTCACGTCCTTGGACACAGCTTGCTTTGTACTGCAAGTGTTCTCATGTTGACCATATTTCTTCCTATACAGCAAAATTCTAATTCTTATCTTCATCAGTTTCTGCCAATACAGAATTAATACCAGTTAAGCAATGTCAAAAGATTCAAAATTCCTATCCTCTGCAGCTTTCTAAAAGGCAATTAAACATGTCTTGTTTGTTTGTTTGTTTGTTTGTTTTTACAGGTGCAAATACGACCTTGGAACTTAAGTGATAGTGACTTTGTAATGGATGGTTCTCAACCTTTAGATCCCAGAAAAACTATTTTTGTTGGAGGAGTTCCGCGACCCCTTCGAGCTGGTGAGTGAACATGTGAATACAGCAGCTAGTGTTATAAAGAGTTGCCTGAAGTCTGATGCAATAGTAGTCACTCAAATGTTTCAGGATGTTTGGCCTGTTTTTCAAATAATTACATAGCTTGTGTATGAAGCAGGAAAAACACGTTGCCAATTTCCACATTTTCATGTGTGTGTAACGTGTTGAAACCTCTGTTCCTATAAAATTTGTGTTGAGTGGTTTTTCAGTGGGTATTGTAATGTAAGGGGGATAGGATGGATCAAAGCTCAATTCTGCAAGCCAAACCCTCTGCTGAATCCCCCCACCAAGAAAATAAGACCAATAATTTGCAGAGGGACAGCACTGCTTCCCGTATTATGGGGAATTCCAATGGAGGTCCATATCATATTGCTTCCATTATAAAATGAGAGAAACCTAGTCAGTCTGTATCTGACAAGGAGAATAGCTCATGAGAAGAAACTGCCAAAGCATTTTCTCTCCCTGGTCATGTTGAGGCACAGTTGCCAAATATTTCTAGTCTCTGTTCTCAATCTGAAACTAGAAACGAAGAGATTGAAATACAATAGTTTAATCTGCAGAAAACAGTAAGGGGTTGGTTACAATCAAATCAAGAGAGCACCAAGGAAGTGCCATGTTTGACTATCTTGCATCATGGATTTTATAGTCGACCAGAGTCATTAAGGTAAACATGCACATACACTACCAAACCTCCTTCCCTCTTTCCTTTTGCTTCTCCCTCCCAACTCTGTCCTTCTGTGTCTGTCTGTTCCAAAACAATCCTGTTTTGAAAAACTATCTCCTGCATAATTTTCCACCTCCCATCTCTTTCAGGTCATTCTGATTTCTCCTTTCACCTCTTACACACTTCTCTTCCGGGAGCTTGGCAACACTTATCTCTTTCCAAATTCCTTCACTCCCTCTCTTTCCACTCCCTCTTCCCCTCTCTATATTTATTTATTATTTATTTATTATGGCATTTATATGCCACCTTTCTCATCCCGAAGGGGACTCAGAGCAGTTTACAAGATATATTTTCATACAATATATTATATTATTAGCATAGTACAATATCAGTATTATATATTACTATATTGCACTATACCATTACATTGTAATATTATTAGTAATATTACATGTAATGTAAATATATAATTATATTTATAATATTGTATTATTATTACTAGTATTATATTTTATTACATTATAATATTATAAATATTATATGTATATACAATATACTATATTATATTATTAGTAAAGACAAGATGGAACTGTCTTCTGCTCCCCTCTGTCTTCACTCTGGCCAGAGTAGCAGTTGGTGCCAGAGGGGGAAGGGGCCTCCCAACTGATGATATAGGCAGAAGACAAGATGGAAATGTCTTCTGCTCCCCTCTGCCTTCACTCTGGCCAGAGCAGCAGTTGGTGCCAGAGGGGGAAGGGTCCTCCCAACTGATGTTAGAGGCAGAAGACAAGATGGAAATGTCTTCTGCTCCCCTCTGCCTTCACTCTGGCCAGAGCAGCAGTTGGTGCCAGAAGGGGAAGGGTCCTCCCAACTGATGATATAGGCAGAAGACAAGATGGAAATGTCTTCTGCTCCCCTCTGCCTTCACTTTGGCCATTATCCCATTCTCAAATTCTTTTCTTGTAAAATTCACTTTTAAAATCAGTCATTTTTCAATTCAAAGTCATCTTCTTCAATCTGTTTTTCACCTCACCCAGTTGAGAACAGCTAAAGAGAATGGGAAACCATCTTTTTAATTTAGCAGTGAAAAGCAACTTGGAAAGAGTTGCTTCTAACAGGAAAGAAAAACTAATTTGGAGGACTCTTACCTGTTTAGGCTGATTGATTTTTTTATTTTAAAAATTCATTGAAAAATCACAGCAATCCATATATAATTTTATCCTGCAACTTTGGAATTCAGCAGCGAGGGAAAATACAGTGGGCTGAAAGGAAAATTGTAGCACAACAGGCTTTGATTTTGAGCTTCTGTTGTTTTGGACTTGTTTTTTGTTTGTTTGTTTTTTGTAGGTTAGATACTATACTTTAAGAAACATGCATAAATCCCTGTTTTGAGTATTCTCTGTTCTTCTGAAAATATATTAGGACTTTAAGCACTGAAATCTCAAGGTATCCTCAGCCACATATATTCTACCTTTCTGCAATTTCAAATGAGTCAGTCCTCATATTGTCTTAAAGCATGGCTGGCTTTCATTTGAAAATGTTAAATTGGATATTAAATTGGATTTGGAACTTCTCCAGACATTTCATGCATGTGTAATGAATGAATTTTCATTTGATGGTTCTGTAATCCATTTTAAATATTGCCTAGATTCATTTTTTCTACGCTATTAAGATCATTTTGAAGACGTTTCTTTGTCACCTTAATTTACAATAAGCCTTCACTAAATATAACATCTAAAGCATTGACCATAATTTGTTTTAAGACAGAAATAATGATTTAAATAACTGAAACAGTTTTGAGCAATTCCATCCGATCCAAGTGCCATTTTTGACCCCTTTCCTGACTCTGTCTTCAGGCAGCACTCTTTCCAATTCAGCAGCCCCTGGGAGTTAAGAAATAAAACAAAACAAGACCATTTTTAGGTTCCTAAAAGTGCAGTTTTTGCCCTAGAACAAGGTTTGTGATCCTTTTGTGCCATGCCTTAATGTGAAAATTTGGTATGGGGCTTTACTGCTCTTGAGGTTCAGCAGGGACTGCAGGAGCTACATATGACCCAGTTTTGATTTAAAAGTCTATTGATCAGCACTAGGCATTGATCCACTTTTCTCATTTTCTGTACAGCCTCGAATTTTGTTTTATTATTTTGGGTTTAATTTTTAGGATGCTTGTTTCTTCTTTAGTCACTTACTTACATTTCTTGTTTATGATTCTTTGGGTAATATGAATCTGTGTCATTGTCTCCTCCCTCAAAATGTCCCAAAATGCTCTGTTAAGGCCCTTGAAGGCCTCAGAATATACCATCATGTCTCAGAGATGGAGTTTGGGGCAAAGAATGTATTTTTTTTGGTGGGGGGGGGATATCAAGTTTGGCCCTCCAAGCTCTCCTGGAGGGCTAATGTGGCCTCCTTGTCTAACAGCTGCTGGCTCCCACCTTAAAAAACTTCTTTACATTGAATGAGGGGTTTGCACATCTCAGTGTTCATACTGAATGCTAGCAAGAATTTGATTCCACTGTAAGCTCCTCCTGTATGCCTATAAGAGTTGCCCTTTTTTAGCTATACCATATTTCCATGTTATTCAAATGAAAGTGAATGGTGGTAGCATCTCTACTTCTTACAGGAAGAACATAAAAAATAAGTCATTTTCCATTTAAACACAATCATTTCTAAAATCATTTTAAAAATCATAATTATCTAGATAATTATGTGGTCAAACGAACAAAGATTATTGTAACCATCTGATGTACTGTACACCTCATGCTGTTATATTCCTATATCCAAGTCTCAACTATATTTATAGTATTTTTAATCCTGATTTGGCCAGAGTGGATTATAATTATAATAATGAATACAGTGTTCCCTCGCTACCTCGCAGTTCGCTTTTCACAGACTCAATGTTTTGCGGTTTTTCAAAAAATAGGAATTTAAAATATACAAGTAGCGAGGGAACACTGTATACCCATTATCGAAGCGCATAGATGCTGCCACAGATTTGAGTTGCAGAGCAGAAGAATGTCTCTCACACTGCCCCGGGGAGGTGGGATGGGGCAAGCCAGGAACCCCTTGGTATTGATGTAGGCACACGGGAAGTGATGTTTATGTGCTTCCTGGAAGCTGGAAGCGTCACCCTGGCTGGTGGAGGCAGCGGGCTGCAAGGGAGGTATGTGTGTGGCTGGCGAATACCTCCGTCCTTCCCAGAGCCTAGCCGAAGTGGCACCAGTGAGGGGCGCATAGAGGGCCACCAAGACAGCTTCCACCAAGGCTTCTTTCTCAGGTGACTGGGTGAGAGCCCTAGGCCAGTGAGGAAGCAGAAGGGAGAGAGAAGGGCGGCTCCAGCAAGGGGAGGGGGAAGAGAGGGAGGAAGGGGGGAAAGAGGAGAGGAAAGAGAAGGCGAAGGGATTGAACGAGTGAGAGATAGGGTGATGAGAGAAGAGTGGGTGGAGCCACTCCTAGGAGGGGGTGGTACTACGCAGGCATGTAGCCGGGGGGGGGCTAGAGGGGCTTCCCCCGAAATTCTCATGGTGGTCCACGAGAAGGCCTTACTGGTGCATTATTTATACTGTTATGTTTATTCATATCATGATCTGATCACCATACTCAATATATCCCATATGCATAGGGGTATTGGGGTAATGATACAAAAGGTTTGCTAGGGTAGATCCTCTTTCACTCAGACTCAGCCCCCCCGAATCAAACTCAGCCCCCCTCCCCGAATCAAAATCCTGGCTACAGGCCTGGTACTACACCTTGTGCGTGCTGAGGCAGTACATATATAGCATCCCTACTTTGTAGATTTTCACTTATCGCGAGTGGTCCTGGAATGTAACACCTGCGATAAGTGAGGGAACACTGTACTGCACTGAGATCTTGCTTCATGAAACCCAAGGAAACTTAGTTTTATCACACCCAAAGCTCTTCCATTTAATATAAATGAATAATTCTCTTTTCAAAACTTCAGGATTTAAAATTACAGCACTTGCTTAAAAATAATATAGTATTATCCATTTCTACCATTGCTAAAATGTTGAAAATGAATCCCTGTGTTTATGAATCTTTTAACCTTTTGTACAGGCCATCACTGAACCTTCTTCTTTTTTTCTGGCTCTTTGGTGTCTGTCTTCCTGTCTCTCTTGATTTATTTGATCTTATCCTCTTGTGTCACCTTTTGTAAAGTCTTCTCCCTTATTGTCAGAAATGTCAGCATCACTGCTGTCCATCTCTGATGTCCTATTTCTTCTGTCCTCCTCCGCTTCCATTTAGTCCACATAATGTGAACGCCTCCTTGTCCCTCTTCAGCCGTTTTTCTATCCCTCTTTCTCCATGCTGTCCATCTCTCTGTCTCTCTTTTATCTCTCTGTTCACTTATCTTGTCTCCCTTCTTGCACTTCATCATCTACACACACAACACACCTTTCCTTTCAATATACACTTGCTGCATTAGGAGGCAGTGTCACATGGGCTTCCTTTTCTTCTCTCCTTTGTGGTCCTTGATACTCATTGAACTTCACACTGCTCACAGCTTCATCCATTCTTCACAAGATGAATAACTCCCAATGAGGCTGTGGAAGCAGGCAGGGGGTGGATACAACATGGCAAGTGTAAGCAATGTGTCTTATAGTGTTATCTGCAAAATGTATTTAATTACTTGGATTTTTGTTGGGAAGAAGGGCCATCATGTCCCAGTTCAGGATGTTTTTTTTTAAAAAATAAAGGAATAAGATAATATCAACAGTGTGGTTATATTCTATCCTTTACTGTTTTGCAGTTGAATTAGCAATGATTATGGATCGTTTGTATGGAGGAGTCTGCTATGCTGGCATTGATACAGACCCAGAGCTGAAGTACCCAAAAGGTGCTGGCAGAGTGGCTTTCTCCAATCAACAGAGTTATATTGCTGCTATTAGCGCACGCTTTGTCCAGCTCCAGCACAATGACATTGATAAACGGGTAAGCAAAATATATCTCAATAGATTAACTTCGCTAGCAGATTGCACACAGCAGAATGAGTGATAAGACGAACATTAATACCCAGAGAAGCTTCTTCATTACTTTTTGATTGTAATAAACCAAGGACATAGGGTTTTTTTTTCCTGCATATTGCTTTTCCCTAAACTCTTTGGGAAAAAAATAATGTAATCATTATTGTCTTATTACTATATTAGCCTTTTCTTCTTTATTTCTACTTGTTTTGAAGCCTTCCAAAATCTTCAGAAGTGGGAAGAACCAGGCTTTCAACATTATTTTATTGAATGCCTGGCTATATTATTATTATTATTATTATTATTATTATTATTATTACTATTATTATTATTAATTAGGATTAAAAAGATCTTTTTGTACCAGTAGGCAAATGAGGCATTTGAGGGAAAATTGGGGGGGGGGGGGGGGGGGATTGTGCTGGGGAGGTTGTGGGTGGGATTCTGAAGGAATTCTAAATTTTAAATATAGTTTTAAGTGTGTTTATTATATTTTAACTGTATTTTAATCTTTTTTTCATTTTGTGTCAAAAGCATTGCATACTAAGTATAAAACTGATAAGAATAGAAGGAGCACAAGCAGCTAAATAATTTTTTTTACTAAAACAGGGCAACAGTGACTGCATTGTCTGTAGCTTTAAACAGTTGTTCCTCTTTACATGAGGCAGGGCATTGTAGACAAGCATACAGGCGTGAAGTTGTTTGTTCTGCTCCATAGTCGCACAAGGTAGAAGATTCTTCTAGGTAGTTTCATTTTGCCAAGTTGTCTTTTGATCTGCCCACTCCACTACTAAGTCTGTTCAGGGTCTTCCAAGTTGCCCATTATTGGTTTGCCCCTGGAGGAAGACCCTTGTGGAGGGCCATCCAATTGGGATTTCCTGGTTTAGCTGCCCAGAGGGATGCTGTTGCTCTTGCTGTTGCTGGGGAAATATTAAGAGGAGTTGTGGTTCTCAAGAAGCTTTCCCTTGATTTGAGTCTACTGGAAGGAGGCTGATAGCTATGCAGTGGATGGCTTACACAGTGTTCTCATATTGAACTACCCCCCCCATCTTTCAGAAGGCCTGTCTCCACTGTTCCATCCCCTATGAGTTCCTCCCTTTCATATATACCTTTTTAATTCTTATCTCATCCAGTGTTTTATCATTTTATGTCGTACATTTGGCCTGCTCATTGTGTTTGATTTTTCACCTCATTATTTTGCACTGTTTTATTCTACTCTTATGTTTTACTTATTTTATTGTGATGATATTTTTGTCGCTTTGTATTTATTTTGCTGTTATGTATTACCAGGCACGGGGACTCATGTAAGCCCGAGTCCCCTTTGGGGAGATGGTGGCAGGATATAAATAAAGATTATTATTATTATTATTATTATTATTATTATTATTATTATTTCTCTCACAGGTAGCAGCAACCCCGTCGCACATTGGGGGGCAGTGCCAGCTAGCTTATAAGATTTTAATCTTATAGCCACACACTACTGTTTAATTGTTGTTTCCACTTTTTGTATTTGCTTTGTTTTAAACTGTGACCAGATTATGTGGTTGTTGTTGTTGTTCATTCGTTCAGTCGTCTCCGACTCTTCGTGACCTCATGGACCAGCCCACGCCAGAGCTCCCTGTCGGCCGTCACCACCCCCAGCTCCCTCAAGGTCAGTCCAGTCACTTCAAGGATGCCATCCATCCATCTTGCCCTTGGTCGGCCCCTCTTCCTTTTGCCTTCCACTTTCCCCAGCATAATTGTCTTCTCTAGGCTTTCCTGTCTCCTCATGATGTGGCCAAAGTACTTCAACTTTGTCTCTAGTATCTTTCCCTCCAGTGAGCAGTCGGGCTTTATTTCCTGGAGGATGGACTGGTTGGATCTTCTCGCAGTCCAAGGCACTCTCAGCACTTTCCTCCAACACCACAGCTCAAAAGCATGTGGTTGTTAGGCAACTTGAATTCCCATGGGAAGAAAGATGGGATATAAATAAAGTAAATAAAAAAAATAAATATTATATTATATCTTTATTTTTTAATTTATTTTTATTGTGCATTTTCCTGTGTATTTACATAGAAAGAGTGAGAACAAAGGATTTTTAAGAGAGAAAGTGTAGAAGGAAGTGTAAGTGTATATCTTTAAATAATCTTTTCTGAGGCATCTATAGTAATATGATGGCAATACAAAACTGTGACTATTTTTGACAAGTCTAGTGATATTATAGGTTGCATTTGCCAAAACTGCCAATCCATAAGGGCCATAATATTTAAGTTGGCTCTAACTGTTTTGAACGTTTTTGAAAGCTGCTGTTTATTACATTCTGACATGCAAGCCCCTCCTAAATTCAGATTTGTGAGACCAATGCACAGAATTTCCCTCTTTTTTGAACACTTTTGTACTCCCGCCTTCTTTCCTAGGTGGAAGTGAAGCCATATGTGCTTGATGATCAGATGTGTGATGAATGCCAGGGCACTCGCTGCGGTGGGAAATTTGCTCCGTTCTTCTGTGCCAACGTGACCTGCTTGCAGTATTACTGCGAATACTGTTGGGCAAGCATCCACTCTCGCGCTGGGCGGGAATTCCACAAACCACTCGTCAAGGAAGGAGGGGATCGGCCACGCCACGTTCCTTTCCGCTGGAGCTGAAGCCCGGGCATCAACCCAGCAGCAAGTACTGGAGCCGACGACATTGAAGGGAGAAGAGAGTGCTGCCTCAGGGCTTTAGTGTTCTGGAAATCTGTGCATTCATCCTTGACTTTAAAGAAGAGATGGGTCTTTTTATTATGATTACTATTACCATTGTTACGATTATTATTTACAGTCACATTACTGAACTCGGTGTCCAGTATAATACAAACTTAGCGGAGTATAACTGTACTGATTTTGCACTTTGATTCACATCCACATCTGCTTGGTACCTTAAACTTCTTACACGAGACTTGTCACGCTCGACAATAAGTAGACTGCCATTCTCATTGGGCTCCACTAGGTTGATGTCTAGATGATGAAGATTATTTTTTTAAATTAATTTTATGTTGAAACTGGAGCATGCACTTATTTTCAGAAACTTAGATTTGCCCCTCGCAGATGACTTACCAAAGGTAACACTCACAAGCAGGTGGCAGATGTAGCAAAAAAACAAAACAAAAATAAAAAACCAAACATGGATATTCAGCAATCATTAGTTTGGGTCACATAGAGTAGGAACAACCCTAAAACAAAAAAAAGTCTTGCGTTGCTCTCCATTTTTATTGGTAAGGACGATACCTCATAAGCTGGATCACATCTTCTCCACCCCTTTCTTCCCGCCCCATGTTTTGTTCCACCCCTTTTTCCTTTGCCGAGGGTTCCCTCTTTGGTTAGACCTGTTAGTGTTATGTAAATGTATGCTGCAATAGCTTTTGCTGCTATTAAGATGGTATTACTGATACCACCATACTCTATTCAAGCTAGGGTATCGATTTAAACGACAATTATGTGATTAAATAAAAAATAGTGACGGCTGCTGAAAGGAGATCAGTATATCATTCAGAAAGCTTCCAAGGAAGGTCAACAGTTTTGACTGCATGTTTACTTAATCAGGTTGCTGCATGCAATAAATTTTTTTATATATGTCTAATATGAAAATCAGCCCACCGTGCACCAATTAAGAATCTATATAGGCTACAAAGTACTCAGTAAAATAATTTAAACAACACACAGACACACACACACAGAGATTACTGACTGGAGGAAGGCATGCCTCAGTAAATGTAAATGCTTCTGAAATTAGGATCAGCCCATTGCAGTATGACCTATATTCCAACAAATATTTTTTTAAGGAAACTAGATGTAGAATATCCTTCAAACAAATTTGTGAATGATAGACGAAGTACTTTGCGGTGCTCTGTTATATATTGTGCAATTTATTTTATATAGTAAAAGTGATTATGTCCAGTACTGTGATCAAACTATAACTGTTTAAGCCTCTCTGTGTCTAACATTCACATACTTCTGAAAGTGCAACAAGTGTTAAGGACAAATGGACACTCACAACTTTAAAAGAAAATGAGCTCTTCGTTCCAATCTCATAAGCGCTTGCACCGTTTGATGTAGTGGCGACCCTTGTCCAGAAAACCAAAGAGCTCGTAACAGCATATGTACACTACCAATGTCACTTGTAGGCCGGAAAAGAGAACTAGGCACATTTAACGAAAAGTGAGAAAAAGTGGTGCTAAAGAAATGTCTGCATACAAAAGTTAACTCGCAAGATGTCTGCTCTCTGGGTGAGACATTTAATTTCTTGAACCCTGGATGTATCCTGTGAAGCTTGAATCTATTTGAGATCTACTCTATATAACAGTGGACATTTTTTTAGCATGTACTGTGGGGCTGTGCAAGACAAACACATAGACACACATGGGTGTGCTAATTGTGAGAATGTGTACACTATTCTGGGTGTTTTTTGTTTGTTTGTTTGTTTGTTTGTTTGTTTCTTCGTTCGTTCTCTCCCCACCCTGTTTTTGTTTTTAAGTTCTGGGGACAATCTAACTGGATATGGCACCGCATCGTAGATTTAAATGTTCCGGTTTTGTGTGTTGTGATGGCCTTGTTACTGTCTAACTTTGTACGTTTTCTTTTAATGTTTAGTTGCAATTATTGGCTCTGAAAGAAATTTTCTGAGTTTGAAAAAAAATAGTTTTTTACTGGTTTAGAAAATCATGTTTAGTATCCCTTTTAAAGTTTCTTCTGGGCATTTTTGTGAGATTGCTTTATCCAGCCCAGCTGTCTTTCCTTCTGTTTGGGGTTTTTCTTTTCTTTTCTTTTTCTTTTCATCTATACGAGATTTGTTATGCACTACTTTTTGTATCTAGACAGTTTTCAATAGTTGGCAGATTATTCTTTTTTAAAAGAAAAAAAGGCATGCTTTCTGACTGACATTGATCTTTTGCAATACCTCAATTTTGAAATAATAGGAAAGAAAATATTTTCTAAGTAAGTTTATTCAGAAAAAATATATATATTAATTTAATTCTGCAAGAAAATGATTTAACAGATGGGTAACTTTATTTTTTTCATGCTTATTTGCGTTTTTGAAAATTAAAGAAGTTAGAGCTTTATAACTGTAATATTGAAGATCCTAGCTAACCTACAGAAGTCTACCTAATTATGTGAAATGAGAGACGTTTTTGGAAGAAATTTCCCACTTTCCATGTACAAACATCCTCTAGAAAGAGAGACGGGGGGAAAGCGAGCGAGTGAAAGAGAGAGATGCTCGAAGTTACATAGGTGTTAAGCTTGAAATGAATGAATACAGCATTGAAAGATGTAAAACAAACAGCATTGGTGCTGGGAGTTGTGAATAGAAGGCAGAAAAAAAAACTATTTTTCCCTTAATTTGTATATTTATAATCAAAACAATTATGCACGACTGACCAGAATTGTGAGAGTTCTTCTGTTTGTATTTTTTAAAGATAATTTTTTAGTTTATTAAATTATAACATGGTCCCTTTTTTGTTTTGTAAATGAATGTGCCCCCTAAGTTGTTAATATGTTATATTATTATTATTATTATTATTATTATTATTATTATTATTATTATTAAAGAGGGTCCTTCAAGAAAAGAAGTTATTTTTTAAAATAAGGTGTTCTGAACTGCAACTTGACTAAGAAGCCCCCGGGCACAGGTCCTCTTGTGGCCTTCTCTTGATGCGAGACTTGAACTAGTCGATTTTTTTTGAAGGCGACTTAACCTCGACTCTTTGTTGTTATGTGCAATACTGTTTGTACTGTTTGTATAAAAAAACCGAAAAAAAATGAAAAGAAAAAAGGCATAAATCTTTATTGCAGATTTATTTTCATTGCAAACTTTAGACATTGTGATTCACTAAGATCATTTTTCTACTGTCAAATATGTACCTTTTCTTCATGCTGGTATTTTTTCAATAGTAATGTAGCCTTTGTACTGAGACAAAATTTTCATTGTTATTTTTAGAAAGATTTTTTGCTAAGAGAAATTTAAACATTGACATATTTTTCATTTTTATTTCAGATTTTTTCTTTAAGGAGTGCTTTCTCAACCATTAATATAGTTGTTTCTGGGAGAGACTTTCATATCTGGTCAATGTCATTAATATTATTTTGTATTTTTACTTGGAATAAATTAATTTTATGATGCTAATTCTTTAAAAGTTTATTTTTTTCATTTTCAGTTATTTTTGAAGCTAAAAAAACCTTTGTAATATTGTTACTAAAGTGTCTAGTTTTTTGAAATGCAAAGCTTTATGTATTAACTCGCTGATGTGGTTTACAATGGTGTGAAAATGGTTGGATATGTGAAATGATTGAAAAAACTGTAATGAATAATTGGGCAATAAAATTACAGAATGAAGCAGGAAATGGATGTGATATTTTTGAGAAGCCTTTTTTCCTTTATCGGAATGATTTAGGGAGATAATAGGGATGTCACAGTACCAGTTCGCTGTCTAGATTTATACAACACCAATGCTGATAAAACACTATTGCTGTTGTAATGGACTCCAATCTTTCGAAGTAACAGGCGCGCAACCTTTCCGGTTGAGCGTAACATGAATTTGCTTCCTCCCCACTTTTATCATAGGCGCTCTCAGCACTACGGGGGCCTCGTGGGGCAGCCACGAATGGAGGTTACACAGCACTAATGCTTGGCCAATTCCCTGCCCCTACCCTGCTCATACCCACCATGGCAGTCTCTTTTGGACTGTTACGTTCACTCTCTCCCAAGTTTCAACGTGATCTGCCATGATTTTATTTATTTACTCATCTCCCCACCCCATTCCCATGCTGCATTTCCATGCACTTCTTTACGCGGTAACCCAGAACCAATGGAGGGAGTTGTATAGCGTCCGCATAACGTTACCATACGGTGTAATTTACTGCATAGTTAGTGCTAAATAATGCATGCGTAGCGACCCTTATGACTATATCGGAGCACTTTCGTCAAGCTTCCTTGTATATTCCTCCCTTTCTTTTTGAGTTTGTCCTTCGGCATTCCAAGTGCAACGTCCGTTGCTGCTATTGAAACACTGCTTCACTTTATGTAGTTCATCTCCCCCTATGTTTGTCGAACCCCTACTGTTTTTGCTGCTATCCCACCAGACCTTCTGTGCTGAAGCTAGAGATACAACTGATATCCATTCCTTAAGACCCCACAAACCAAACTGGTGTTATATAAACAGAACATACAATGGCCTTCCCTAGATGCGTCCGTGCCCAGAGTTGGTCTCACATTGGTTTCTACTGAAGGGAGGCAATGTTTATGATCTCTTGTAGAAATGTCTAGAGTTGGCCCATTGTTGTCCTCTTTGTGTGTAAAGTTATAGACAAAAATCAAACTAGTGAGTAAAATTTAGACTCTAATTAGGTACTACTGGTTGGGATGAACACAAATTGTCAAAGTATACTAGACGTAAAGGAGAAAAAATTACAAATTCCTGCAAAGTGGTACAAAGTGTGTTGCTTAGATTTCTGTCTACACACTTGCCTTTTAGGAAGGCAGGGGCTAACAAGAAAATTGTATTACAAATATGCAGTTAGCAAATTAACTTTGCTAATTTCACTATCTTTGTTAGAGTAGTACAAAATATATATATATAGTGCTTTACTGGGGGAGATTCCCCCCATGTTAATATTTCAGTATTGTGACATCTCTACTTGCAAGATATGAGTGAAAGATTAGTCACAGGTTTGTAAAAAAACAACAACAAAAACTCTTTTGTTAAACCTGGCTTGTATGTAGTTGCTTTTTACACCAGTTTGTATAATGTCGGCTTAATTTTTTTTAACCAGGAAACCTTTTTCTTCTCGATCTCCACTGTTGTAGTGTTTCTGTCTGACCACAGAGTATTTTATATTCATGCTGGTGGTTTGCTCTATACCCTGAATGGGTAGCAGATCAGGGGCTGTTATGTCATTCTGCACATTTTAAATTTACCTAATAATAACGTTTAGCAACAAATAGATATCCAGGGTGCTAATACGGGATAATCATTTCTGCTGTTTTTTTGTTTCTGGATGTAGTTCTGTTGGAGTATAAAGTACTAGGTATTTGTAATTTTGCTGTCAAAATAATGGACATAACTTTTAGAGTGTTCACAGCTAAGATCTCTGTACTTGTTTTTTCAACTAATTTTAAATGTACCATATCTTTTACTACATGTTCTCTTAGACTGGTTTTGCTAGTAACCCTAAAAGGCTTTTATCTCTTTTTTTGGCTTGAACTAATGCTTTGTATGGAACTGCAGTACTGTGACTAAACATGAAGCTCAATGCTGCTATTGCTTACTACTGCTTCAACTTTGTAGTTTGAACTTAATTTTTTCTGTAATAACTTATTAAATCTAGTTGTATGAAGTACTGACACTTGTCATCCTTTGCATGCTGAAAAATAAACAAAGGGGAAAGTGCTGTCGGGATACAGACCTGGAAACTTAGAAGATAGCAACGAAATATTCCTCTAAATCACTGGTTCCCAACCTGTGGTCTGTGAACCACCAGTGGTCCGCAAGAATGAAAATATGGTTTGTGGCCTCACCATTACTAGACCGTTGCCTTGAAACATGCGGCAACGAGAGCGACTGGTCTCGCAAAACTATATAGTACTGAGGTAATGGGGATGTGGGGGGGGGGGGGAGAGAGGCTGACTACCTACAAAAGATTACTACTACCACATCAACTTTAGATCATTAACTATGGTTTTCTGTGGCCAAGCAGATGGCGACTACTGAATGGCATATGTTCTGTATCAGAAACTAGAGCTGATGTGGTCTATCCAATGCAATTTTCTGAATCAGTACCCCAAATAGCCACACCGAATCTAAAGTTGACCAAAAAGTGATTCGTAACCCCTTTGTTACTAATGTTGGAGAGCGGTCCCTGGTCAAAGCAGTCCCTGGTTTAAAAAAAAAAAAGGATGGGAACCACTGCTCTACATATTACACTTTAACGTGTATTTACAGTCTCGTCTTCTCTTTGTTCGTATAATGACACAGGTTCAATCAGTTGTATGTATTGTCGAATGCTTTCATGGCCGGAATCACTGGGTTGTTGTAAGTTTGTTTGGGTTGTATGGCCATGTTCTAGAAGAATTCTCTCCTGACGTTTCGCCTGCATCTATGGCAGGCATCCTCAGAGGTTGTGAAGTCTCAGACCAAAAAACCTACAACTCATTCAGTTTTCTTTCTATCACTGCATAAGCCCTTGTGTTGGAGCTGTCAATCCAATAATATACATCCTTGTTCATTAGGGAAAATGTGGCAGTCGTCCCTCTGTATCCATGGACTCTGCATCCATAGGTTCAATATCCATGCCTCAAAAATATTCCCAAACAAAATTCCTAAGAGCAAACTTTAATTTTGTTCTTTTATATTTTAATATGCCACTTGTATATAGTGGGACTTGAGCAAGCCCGTAGCCAAGGGGGCGGTTTAGGGGTTCAAACCACCCCTGAAATTATTCAGGTCAAAAAGGAAAACCTGGTTTACTCATGGATTTCAACTAATTAACCAAATTGCCATACCAAATATAAGAGAAGCAAAAACTCCAGAACTGCAAGCACTATCTAAATCAAATCTTGATTATTTACACTATCATTACCTACCTTTCAACCAATTTACATTGCAACAGCAGCAATAGCTGACATAGTGGAAACAACCATAGTGGAAGTTGCAAAAATGTTGTAGCTGGCAGGCAAAGTCTAGGACACGGGGGTGGGGTGGGGTGGGGGGTGATTGACCTGGATTGCAGGTGAAAACTGAGGAAACTGTAGAAACTGGGGTGTCTACCACTGGTTCATCTAATCCAAGTTCTGCCAAAGCAACCATGGAACAGGAGCAAGGAGAAGAAGCTGTGTCATTGTTGGACCTTGGACTTTATATAAACAAGACTTTTTCTGATGACCAAGCGAAAGCTCAATTAGTGCAAAATCCACAAACTCAATTGCCAGGATATGTATTTCCTGTGGATAAGAAGAGGCATCTAAGATTTCAACCCAAATGGTTCAGCAGATTTCCTTGGTTAACTTACTCATTGCATGTATAAGGTGCAGTCTGTAAGTACTGTGAGGTGTTTGGAGGAGAAGTTGGGGGTAAAGGTGGTAATCAGAAGCTCGGTGCATTTGTGCGATGGTAAGATGCAATAGAAGTCTTCAATAGTCACCAAAAAGCAGATAACCATCAGAACAACTTGTGCTTGACTGAAAACATCTTGCTCATTCACAGTGGAAAACATCTTGATGTAACCCGTCATCATGATAAAGGAAATAGGAAGAAAGCAGAAGAAAACAGAAAGCAATTTCTGTCAATTGTGGAAACTCTTGTCCTTTGTATCCGACAAGAGAGAGCAATGATTCAGGACCTATTACTTGTGAAGAATCTTTGTGTAATGATGGTCATTTCAGGGCCCTGTTGAGACACTGGGTTGAAAAGTCATCTCAGGTGGAAAAGTTTCAACCCCTCCTGAATTTTTTTTCTGGCTACGGGCCTGGACTTCAGCATCCATGGATTTAGGAATCTATGAAGGGTCCTGGAACAAAACCCTAGCAGATACAAAGGCCTACTGCACATTTAGCAACTCTCAACATCACAGTATCAAGTGGTTGGAGGAATTTCACCCATCAAAATCTGAGAAGTAACTGAAACTAAGCAAAGTCTTTTACCAGCTTCAAGGAGTAATATTACTTTTTTCGTGTCAGGAATGACTTGAGAAACTGCAAGTTGCTTCTGGTGTGAGATAATTGGCTGTTTGCAAGGACATTGCCCAGGGGATGCCCTTGCGGGACCCCACAGGTCAATGGCCAGGGGTTCGAGCAAGAGTTCCCTAGCTTCACCAACTGGGAACGACCCTCCAGGAAGGACCGGAGCCACAGTAAAACCGTGCCCCCAAGTCCCATCCCAGCAAGTCTCCCCAGAAGGATACCATGGTCGATGGTATCGAAAGCTGCTGAGATATCCAAGAGAACGAGTAGGGTCACACTCACCCTGTCCAGTTCCCTGCGGAGGTCATCCACCAAGGTGACCAAAGCCATCTCGGTACTGTGCCCAGGCCTAAAGCCAGACTGCGAATAATCCAGAAAATCGGTGTCATCGAGGAATCCCTGAAGCTGCGAGGCAACCGCCCACTCCAGAACGTTGCCCAAAAAAGGGAGGTTGGAAATTGGTCTGTAGTTGTTACATATGGTCAGGTCAAGGGAGGTTTTCTTTGATAGAGGTTTTACCACCGCCTGCTTGAGGCAGGACGGGAATTTCCCCTGGCCCAAAGAAGTATTTATTATTGCAACACAAACCATTCCAACAACCCTTCTCTGGCCAGTTTAACTAGCCAGGAGGGGCAAGGATCCAGAACGCAAGGGTTGCTCTCACCATCCCAAGGATCCCCTCTACATCATCAGGATGAACAAGACGGAAATAATCCCATAAGATTGAATGGACAGGTGCCTTGGTTACCTCATCTGGCACTGCGTTTAAGATGGAGTCCAGCTCAAGAGGTATCTGAGCAACTTTGCCTATACACACACATATACACATATATATACACACAAAACACATATGAACATGGGCCAAAGCAACGCATGGCAGGGGATGGCCAGTATACTTATATAATCCGCCCTGAGTCCCTCCGGGGAGATCAAGTGGAATATAAATAAATTATTGTTATTATTGTTGTTGTTGTTGTTGTTGTTGTTGTTGTTGTTATTATAGTACGACCCTACCCCCACCAAATCCATGGACTTTATATCCATGGTTTCATTTATCCACGCACCAATTCCCACCCCCACCCCCCATGTTTATGGATTTCTCTAGGTCCTGCAGTGCAATTCTGTGGTATGCTTTCAGATCAGCTATAGTCAATATATAGAGTTCAGCATTATCCATAGTTTTCAGATATCCACAGAGGGCAGTGTTAGATACATGGGTCATACTGTATAATATGGGAGCCCCCGGTGGCGCAGTGGTTTAAAGCACTGAGCTGCTGAGCTTGTTGATCGAAAGGTCGCAGATTCGATTCCGGGGAGCGGCGTGAGCTTCCGCTGTCAGCCCTAGCTTCTGCCAACCTAGCAGTTCGAAAACATGCAAATGTGAGTAGATCAATAGGTACCGCTCCGGCGGGAAGGTAACGGCGCTCCATGCAGTCATGCCGGCCACATGACCTTGGAGGTGTCTACGGACAACGCTGGCTCTTCGGCTTAGAAATGGAGATGAGCACCACACCCCAGAGTCAGACATGACTGGACTTAATGTCAGGGGACTACCTTTACCTTTACCTTTTACTGTATAATATGTCATGATTAATTTTATGTAAGTGAAATTGTAAGATTCTAATATAAACCTTTGAGGTGTCTCGGCCTACGATATTCCTGGAGAAAAAACTTAGCTGTATTAAGAAATGTTTGGGGTCCAAACTTGATAGATATCAGACAAAGACTTCATTTCCAGGTTCTTGATGTTAGTCACTTCAAGGATAGCACATGTTTGTTTGCATATTGATTCACGGGGAGTTGGAACGAAAACATATATGGCTTTCAATATAATGGAAACATCTAATTTTAGCTGCTATGCGTCATTAGTGTTTATGAACTGATTGTGCATGAACTTGGAACCTTTCGCATTACACATTACTTGCACATTGAACTTCTGCATGGAGAGGCTGCCGTGCAGAAGCCTCCGTCTCCTTCTACTGCAAGGAAGAATCATCCATCTGTTCCTGTCACATTCAGCATTAACATCTTGATAAGCCTTATTTATGATGAGAATCTCAGAGTTGGAAGTGGCTGAATAATGGATCTTGCTTAAATTCTGCTCCGTGTAGGAAAACCAGTAGAGCATTCCTGATTCCCACTCCCACCCCCAGTACATCTATAAAGCTTGGCTGCTGTGTCGGACTGGATGAGAGCTAACAAATTGAAACTGAATCCAGACAAGTCAGAGGTCCTACTGGTCAGTCGTAAGGCCGAACAGGGCAGAGGATTACAGCCTGTGTTAGACGGGGTTACACTCCCCCTGAAGACGCAGGTTCGCAGCTTAGGAGTGATCCTGGATTCATCGCTGAGCTTGGAACCTCAGGTCTCAGCGGTGGCCGGGAGAGCTTTTGCACAACTAAAACTAGTGCATCAGCTGCGCCTATACCTTGGGAAGTCGGATCTGGCCACAGTGGTCCACGCTCTTGTTACATCCCGAATATATTACTGCAACGCACTCTACGTGGGGTTGCCTTTGAAGACTGCTCGGAAACTTCAGTTAGTCCAGCAGGCGGCAGCCAGATTAGTCACCAGAGCATCATACAGGGAGCATACCACCCCTCTGTTGTGTCAGCTCCACTGACTGCCAATCCAGTTCCGAGCACAATTCAAAGTGCTG